AGTCAGCCCCTGGTCAGTTTCAGCAGCGGCTGAATCTGGATGCCAGTTCCGACTTACATACAGATTCAACTTAAGAACAAACCTACAGTCCCTATCTTGTACGTAACCCAGGGACTGCCTGTATACTATATACAGTATATACATTACCATCTTATAGTACCTTCTGATACTCCGTCATATCTGATAATCCGGCACCGCCTAGGTCCCATAGGTTCCGGATTATCGGAAGTCTCCTGTATAAGGCTTTCACAGACAAATGGCGGGGTGCTAAGGAACCTAAGTTTGAGTGTGGTTCCTTCATTAGAGTAAGAAAACCTGGAATTCTGCACAAAAGGGACCCTAAATTCACATCTCCTCTTAAAATTATTGAGAAGAGAGGACTTTGCACCTATTGACTTTCTGATGGGCGTGTATGGAATGCTTCTTATCTTGCACCTGCCTATCCACCAAGAAGAGATGAGGCCAACACCCAGCTGGTGTTGGATGACTTCACTATAGTACCAACACAACAAGACATTGCACTAGAAACGGGGTTTGAGAGACGATCTGTCAGACCCAGACAACCACCTGTCTGTACTAGAGACTATGTTATGTATTATTTACAGTGTAATATTTCTGCCAACAGTATAATGGCTTGTTCCATATTTGTTGCTGTGGTTAGAACAACAATGTTTATTTTATAATTGAGAGCGCTTCTTAAGAGAGGAGGGAATGTGGTGTTTTAGATGCTGCTTGTAATTATTAGAACTGGGAGCATCGGCTGTTGGGAGTCTGGAAGAACAGGAAACAGGAAGGAGTGGGGAGAAGATTGGCAAGGGCTGAGTGAGAGCTACTGAGGGATGCAGCAGCTTTGTAAAGCGGCTCCACTTTTGATAAATAAAGTCCTGTTGAAGTTTGTTAGTACCTTGCTTGCAAGATACTATATCTAGGTCAGTCAGGGCCTGTGGGAGCATGTGAAGTCTGCCCCTACCCTGCAAGGGAGCACCGTGCTTAGAGTCACCCGCCAGCTGAGCAGCAGCTGGTGGTTGATGCCAAGTGTGGAGCCTGTTGCAGGGTGGGAGGAGACATCATGTGTTCCCCCTTCCCCAAAGCCAGTAAGGGCTTTGGGGCATGGGGAGCGTGCATAGTCTCCTTTTGCCCTGTGCCCGTCCTGCAAGGAGCGCACGGACCTTCTAAGGAAGTCTCTTGCTCCCTGCCCTCTGGGAAGGTTGACTCTAAAGGCCACATGCTCCCCTATCCCTAGGCCCTGAGTGGCTTGGGGGCAGGGCAGCGGCAGGACTTCTGCAGGCCGGATCAACCCACCTGGCAGGCCAGATCTGGCCTACAGGGGCCATTTTGCCCAGCCCTGTTCTATACCACTGTCCTCACTTGAATGGAATCAGAGTTTCTCAGCTGTGACTAGTTCTATTTTGACTTCATTGAAAGGGGATCATGCTTTTGGATTAGCTGGCTCTGACTTCTATCCATATTGTTGCCTCACTGATGTCTGAATGGGTCTGGTGTGTACTGTGGAGCAAGCACACGGCCTGAAGGTTTGGTTTTATACTTTTTTTTAATCAAAAAATATAGTAATAACATTATTTTTAAGATCTTAGTAACTGTCCTTGGGGACAGGAAGGCTGTGATGTGATTAACTTGTACAGCAGTTCTCCTGACATGCCACATCCAGAGTTCAGAAACATTTGGCACACCACCTTTCCCATTTTAATCACTGAAGTTATGAAGTGTTCTTATGCTGATGCCATTCTTTAAATCAGCCAGCATATGATCTGATCACAGCTCATGCATGCACCACTGTTTGAAAACCTGCAGAACCATTAACTAGCAATCCTTTGTTGTTTCTTTTTAATCAAAATGTCTTTGTATTCAGCTATTACTATCCCTGAATATTACATATTTTCAAAGAATAATTTAAAAATACATTACAGATGAGTCTGCGCCTCAAAATCTGAACTAAATGCAAAATAATTGACATGAAAATGGAATGTATTTTGTAGTATGGATTGTTAGATTCTGTTGCTATCCCAGTCCACAGCACAGATCAGACTTGCATGGAAGAGTTGCCAAATGATCCTCATTAAGAGGATGAACATATTTTCAGTGACATATGTCTGACCGACTTAACTTACTTGGCTGGGCACTGCAGTCAGTGACACCAAAATAACATACAGCTGGCAGTCTTTGTTCAAATACACCTAAATTAAGTTTAATGCCATTAGAAGATGGCCTCACCCCTGGAGTGGGTTTAAGGTCATCTGCAAATCACTGTGGTGTTAATCACCCCCCTTGGCCCTTACAAGAATTGTGTTCATTGTTATATATGTAGTTCCTCATTCTTTAAAGGTAAGTAATTTAAAACACACCAACTGGCAATTCTCAGGGTTGATTTCTGTAGCACTAGATTTATATGTAACTTAGAATGGCTGATAAACATTTTATGATTAAAAAATGTAATTAAGCATAAGAGGGGGCTCAGAGCATCACGTCTCATATATTATCCAGCACACACACAATCCACACAACAGAGATCCATAGAACAGGAAGGGACCTTAATCCAGTTCCCTGCACTGATAGCAGGGCTAATTACGAGACTAGCCCTGACAGGTGTTTGTCTAACCTGCTCTTAAAAATCACCAACGATGGAGATTTCCCAGCCTTCCTAGGCAATTTATTCCAATGCTTTTAACTACCTTGATAGTAAGGAAGTTTTTTTCTCATGTCCAACCTAAACTGCCCAAGATGCAATTTAAACCCATTGCTTCTTGTCTTATCCTCAGAGGTTAAGGAGTTTTTCTCTCTCCTCCTTATAACAACCTTTTATGTAGTTGAAAACTGTTATCATGTCCCCCCTCAGTCTTCTTTTCTCCAGACCAATCAAACCCACTTTTTTCATTCTTCCCTCATTGGTCATATTTTCTAGACCTTTAATCATTTGTGCTGCTTTTCTCAACATGTTCTCTAACTTGTCCACATATTTCCTGAAATATGGCACCCAGAATGGGACACAACATTCTGTCTCCATGCCCAGGCTGGATACTTTCCCACCATTGGTGAGAACTAAAAAGGGAGAACTACCAAATGATCGCTTTCTCTCCTTTCTGTATCACCTGCTAAAATTCTGGAATCAGTTTGCTCTCTCCACACCCCTGCAGGTCTAGGTGCTGCCTGCCACCTCTTTGAGGTGTTGGAACAAGCACATACCTGTTTCTGGGACACCATGTTGTAATGACTATTACAGTACTGCCCTTGCAAAAACACACAGCAAAGAAGTCCCTGCCTTGGGGAACTTCCAGTAGAACAGACTGACAAAGGAAGAACAATTATCTCCTTTTTCCAGACAGGACAGAGAGATTACGTGAATCATTCAAGGTCACACAGGAAGTCAATGACAGAGCCAGCAATTCATTCTCTCTCTCCCCCTCCCCCGGCAAGGCCCCAGGTCTGGATCTTGGAAGCAAAACTAGAGCCAGGGCTGACAAGAGTGGGAAAAGGGAGGGCAATTGTATGAGGGCCCTAAGCTAAGGGTCTGTAAGGGTCTTTCAGGTCTGTGTAAATACAGTGGACTAGAAGGAAGAAGAGTCCCACATTTTTATCAGTGGACTTCTGTTCAAAACAGACTTACAGTTGGTGTTTGGAGTTTTAATGGAGCTGCTCAAACTAGCTCGTATTCAAGGTTTGATTTTTTTCTTGATTTTTTTCAACAGTCCAGCTTCCTCATTTGCAAATATTTCTTGGGCATCCTTCCTTCCAAATTCCCTCACTTTTAAGTGTTTGCTTTATTTAGGCCAGTAGTGTCTTAATGACGCATTACATGAGTAGACTCTATTTACAACCTTAGCTGTGGCATTGATGCATGCAAATGTGTGTGTGTAAGAGTGAGAGAACACATAACACCTTCTCCAGCAAGTGTCAGTTGTTGTTGCAACCCCACAAGTCAGCAGATAGCTCAGCCCCCTCAGGAAAGGTTGACAATGTGACTTGGATTGTGACAGATAACCCACTGGATGGGGGAGGGGAGTGTTTATCTCTCTTGAACACCCTTATACAAGCAGCCTCGCTCCTTTATTTATTTATTTACCACAAAACACTGAAGTGCAATTAAATCATTCAACTGCAAATCAGAACACTTTCCTGTTGGGTACAGTTAAACATACACCAGCAGCTGTTCCCAACCTAGAGAGAAACATGGAATACCTGACAAATAAGAATGTAAGGACAGTTATTCACAATGTTTCTTCAGATTCTTTTACTGGCTTTTGAAGGAAAACAAACAGCAAAACATTATTTCAAATCCACTGTTATCTAATTACATTGGTTCACTAATGTATTTATTTTCACTGATTTCAAGGATTCATTCTCTCTTTGAGGTACTTTCAAAAAACAACAATAACGAGTAGTCCTGTGGCACCTTAAAGACTAACAGATTATTTGGGCATAAGCTTTCCTGGGTCAAAACCACTTTATCAGATGTATGGAGTGGAAATCACACTACCGGTCTGAGATTAAGAGGTTATACACATGAAAATAATTATCTCTATATAATAAACTCTCCTTGCAGGACTTAATTTAAAAAAAAGTTCAAATTCTGGTTATGCTCATAGACGTCAAGTTCTTGCGAAACAACCAGGTCAACCACCTAAGGAAAAGTTCAGAAATATAGATGACATACAAGTCTGAAAATCCACTGGAGCATGGGAAAATGTATCCTCAATTATTATGCCTCATCTCCACCTTCTAATATTTTATCTAGCCCCCAAATCAATCCAATCTGTCCGTCTCTGTAGCTTTCCCTATCTAATCCCCATCTCTACCTAACCAGTCAATCTACTTAGCTACCTGTAGCTTTGCATCTTAAGCAGCGTAGCCATCAGTTTATCTACCGATCTCTCTACCGCCGTAGGCAATAAAGACAGCCAAGCCCGGCAGGCGAAGAAGGGAGAAAGGGCGGAATTAGAGGAGCCGTGTGTTGACAGCCATTATTATGCACACGCGCTCTCGGTAGATCCCGGGACACTTGGCAGCCCCGCGAGCACAGAAGCCTGGTCTGCAGTTTACACCGGGCTGGATTGTGCAACGAGCAGGAGGAGTCGCCGAAGACATTAGCAAGCCATAAACAAAGGCACGTGTCTCCCCCCTGATCTAGGGGCCGGGCTAGCGCTGCTCTTCCGGCAACAAAGCGCCTTGGGATAAATACAGCCGCGGCCGCTGCGGGGACACGGATCCTGATCGGAGCCACGGTGGTACAACTCCCTCCCCCCCTTCCCGCTCCCAGCCGTGCAGCTCGGCACCCTCCCCGGCGTACCCCTTCCAGACTCCCTTGGGGACCGGAGAGGTTCCCTGGCAGAGCGCTCAGCCTCCCCGCGCCCCCCGGTGTAGAGCGATGCCTTTTCTGGGGCAGGACTGGAGGTCCCCGGGGCAGAACTGGGTGAAGACGGCGGATGGCTGGACCCGGTTCCTGGACGAGAAAAACAGCAGCTACGTGAGCGATAGACACAGGTGAGCGGCACCCGATGCTGCCCTGGGAGTGAGGGGAGGAGGATGTAGGAGTCGCTGCTGTTGGGGATGCTTAGTGCAGGACGGGTATAAGGGGCGGTCATCATAGCAAATACTGCGATGTCCCCACGCTGCAGCAATTGTTCCAAAGCCCGTCTTGCCCTATTTTGCTGTGTGCGTGCAGCGCCTCTGTTGATGGGGAGGTAGTTCTCGTGCGTCATCCTGAGAAGGAGGATCATCGCCCGGACTAAAGCTCTGCAGTAATGAAAAGGAGGGAAGTAGAAGGGGGAAGGAAACAGCTGGGCTGCAGGACAGGGAATGGCCCGCTGGGTCAGCAAGCTTCCTAGCTCCAGATGTGGCTTGCACACCCACATCCTTTGTGTTCTGTGAGTTCTGCTTTTGAAAATGGGCTAACGTGTGTGAGACAAAACCTCAATGAATTCCCAGACGGAAATTCATCCTTTAGCTTTTTAAAAAATGTTAGCTTCGTTTTATTTCCTGTTAACTGTAATTTCAGTAAAACTTAACTGTGTCTGAACAAGCAATGTGGTTTTTGGGAAGCTGCTGATGTCTGTAATACCTTGTGGGACCTCTGAGTTCACTGAAGCCTTCCCAGTGAGAGCTGGAGAGTTTTGAAAGACCAGACTGCAGACACTTGGTTTGTTTTGGTTGTGGATTTAGGCTAGCATCTTTTTTGGCCAACAGAGGGAGCTCTTTGGAGGGGGATCTATATTACCCCATATCTGGCTGAGGTGCAAGAACTGGGTTTGGCAAAAGCCTGTCTTCATTATGTCTGGTTAAAGCTGGCAATGAGCTATTGGATGGTCTAAGATGGCTTCAGTGTGCAAACCAATCTTCCATTTACTAGAACCTTTGAAATGTTTTTGGACGAGTGCCCTATATTAGTTTACAAGGAAAACTAACAGAAAGAGTTGTTGTTTTTGAAGGCTTTAACCTCTGGAGCCCTCATCTGCTTATTGTTGGTTTGCAATAGTTCACCCATTTATCTCTGCTTTAAAAAAAAAAGAGAGTGGCTAATTATCTAATCTGAGGATTAGTTATACAATTTTTTATTCTGTAACTGTAGGCACTGTAGCAACTATGAATGCCAAAGTCAAAGTGGGAGCAGTTGTACCACAGCAACTGAGTTACGAGCAATCTATATGAATTTGAGCAGTTTCTGTAATTTCAGAGCATATCATGTTTAAAAACTGAAATTAAATAAAATGTGCAGGTTCTATTTTTAAACACTAGGGGCCTTTGTTTTCTTGCAAGTGTGACTGACACAGACTTGTTATGGCAGGCTCTCCTAGTTTATTGCTTTGACATATCCTTGAACATGAGCCATTAAACAGAGATCTGCTTTTTGTTCATTAGAGGCTCCAATGCATGAAGATGTCTAGTCACTTTTAACTCTAAAAGTAAAGAAACAAAATTTGATTTTATTTTATAGCCATAAATGTAAAGCTATAGAAGGGTTAGAATCTCTATTCCTTCTTAATGATCTGTTTAATGGCGATTTTTCTTCTAAATAGAGGGGGAAACTGGGCTTCCCACTTTCATTCTCCATGATCTTCCTAGCCTCTGATGTTTGCAGCCTTTGGCACTAGTGAACACTGCACTGTCTGAGCCGGAAGTTAATCTCTGTTACCACAGATAACATACATCAAAAGCATTTAAGGAATAGTGAAGCACTGAGGCATCTGGAGTTTATTTGCCTTGGAAGAGTTGGCTTATAGTATCTCACTGTTTGTGAGGTCCTCTTTTAGCTAAATGATCAAATTTAAATGTCATTTACAGGCTCATGTGGTCAGTCAGTGGCTCATGCCAGTCTGGAACCCAGGACTTGGGTCTTGGGCCTTTCCTTTAGCCACCAAATCATTCAAAGGAAAGGTTGATAATCTACAGCCAGATTCACTATTCAAGTGATGCCCATTGTACCTGTTCTTGTCAGGGCTAAAATTGGATCCAGGATACTTACTTGACCGAAAATTTTATCCCAGGGCTTTAAAGCCCTTTACAGCCCAGACCCCAGCCTGAAATCTTAAGACCTCCACTGTAACCAATTCTGGATCATGTGGTGCCATGTTATGGAGCACCAGTGAGTCATCTGGTCTGCTGACGTTTCTGTGTTCCAGTAAAATGAGCATGTAAACAAAGATACAATTTCTGTTGAAGAGAGGGATTAGTGACTCTAGCTCTGGGTAAACACAGTGGACCTAATTTTCCAGCTGCTATGTGTATGCACTTCCCCGCTAGGAGATGCTTGTATTCACTAGATGCAGGATTTGGCTCAGTATATATCTGGGCACCAGAGAGCTACTCCACTTCTTGCTAGCCACTCAAATGTGCATGGCTTTGCCTTCCTGTGAGAGAACTTATATCTGAGTGTGGTGTTGATCACCACAGTGATGTGCTATAACTTTAGAAATATATATGGCAGCATCAACATGTAAGCCCTGATCTTGGTTCATGGACAGTTATGTCAAATCTACCGTTGACTTCAATAGTACAGGATCGTGCCCTTAACAAATGTCATTGAAAATCTTCTGAAGCCCTGCCAGACTTCCCCTGGAGAACATCCAGGGAATGACTCCCCTCTGCCCCCATTTCCAGAAGCAAACACTTCCTAAGGATTCCCAGTTCCTAAGTTTAGGAAATATGATGCCTCTGAAGCCTTCACAGATCATAAATAATCCTCGTGTGCGGCTTGATTGCGCTGCATTAAAAGAAAACATCGGAAGGCAGGCAGTTAAGCTGTTTACAGCGATGTATAGGCAGGAAAAATGCTACTCTTCTTGTGAGGCCTTCTTGTTTTTAAGGCTCATCCAGCGAGGATTGAAGATGAAACAATAATCTGCATTTGCTCACACTATGGTGATGGCAGTGACTAACAATGCCTTGCAACAATCACGATCTTGCTGTGAATTGCAAAGGGAACCTGATCTCTTTGCAGTGGTGGTTTTCATTGCACTTTTTTAAAAACAAGCTTCTAAAGAGAACATTTTATAACCCAAAGTATCTGATATATACCTAAAAAGGATGCATGTACTGATAGACATAACTGTTGTTAACTGCAAAATAATTAATCGGAGCTGTTCTTAAATTTGCATTGAAAGAAAAGTATGTCCCAAAATTAACCAAAGTTCCTAATCTAAGATCCAGTACCTTGTCTGACAGTGGCCAAACCAGATGCTTGCCAGGAAGGTGCAATAACATTTGAGTAAGTAGATAGAGGGATAATCTACCCCACGCACTAAAGGTACATCTACACTGCACGCTTATTTCAAAATAAACTATTCTGGAATACTTATTCCAAAATAGCTTGTTTCGAAATAGCACATCTGCACTGCAGGGAAGCCTAACTTGGACTAATTTTTGAGGCTTTAATAAATCGACATGCTATCTCAATTCAGAGCCCCAGGAGGCACTGGGGAGGAATAACTTAGAATGGCCCTGGTGAGGGGCTATTTCGAAATAGTAGCAGTGGGGCGTCTACACATGCCTATTTTCAGAATAGGTGTTATTCTTCATAGAATGAGGTTTACACATTTCAGAATAAGATGTCTGTTATTTCAAAATTATTTCTAAATAACGGAATAGCTGTGTAGATGCTCGCATTGTTATTTCAAAATAACGCTAGTTATCTCGAAATAACGGTGCAGTGTAGACACACCCTAAGTCTCATCCACTAGTGATATAATAAAGATTTCAGATAAATCATCAGTAGCAAGTTCACACTCAGGATTGGTGAGATTTAAGTCTTAAATCAGAACTGAGATCCCTCTCTTTCACACTTCAATTATTTGAATTGAACAACTGTGCCAGATTCAGAAATTAATCATAGGACAATTACATGTTCTGTGGAATTTAAGTAAAGTTTTGACTTTTGTTCAGGAATTGTCTTACAATGCTCCCTTCTTAATATTTTATTCTTTTTCTCACTTTTAGTCTCTCTAGTTAAACAGCCACAGTTACCACAAAACACATACGTCACAAACACCTGTCCCCGTCTCTGATAGACCACTTTTAATCTTTTAAAACCAACTGCTTGGAGAAATATTTCCCTTGAGCTGCACTAGTAATACTGAGCGGAACTGAAAGTTCCGTCAGCTGTTTCCCTTTTCCGATGCTGCCAGCCTGACTCAGTAGTTCCACACCTCACAGAAGTAGGAAGCCACAGAAGAAAGCGAGACAGCGGGTGTCACAGAGCTGAGCTTGGAGGCTACACTTACACTGCTGTTGTTGTTGTTGTTTTCAGAAGAAGATATGCAAATCACGTTCGCGTTTGCATATCTTCTTCCGATTCTTTTTGCAGAAGAGGTTTTGCCACTATTTGGCCCCGTGTAGATGGGGCCAAATGTCGGAAAAAAACCCTCTTTCGCTAGACCCCTTATTCCTTATAAATTGAGGCTTACAGGGTCTTGTGAAAGAGGTTTTTTTCCCCCAACATTTGGCCCCGTCTACATGGGGCCAAATAGCGGCAAAACCTCTTCCGCAAAAAGAATCGGAAGAACATATGCAAATGCAAGTGCAATTTGCATATCTTCTTCCAAAGGCAGTATAGCCATAGCCCGTGAGAGGTGCAGCTGTAGGGGCGGGTATGGTTAAAAGTGAGTATGGAATGCATGTAGAGTGAACAGGAGGGTGGGGAAGAAAGTGAAGATGTGAGGGGAGCCACCTTATGCCCCTTAATATTTCCATGCCCCAAAATCTGAGAGAGGTCTTCATTGTCTCCAGTTCTAGTCCAGTGTCATAGACGCACTTATGTTAATCAGACTAGACCCCTGCTCCTGTGGTTCACTAGCAGAAGAAACTGCATCAGGAGCAAAGTCATTAGCTTTGCACTGGATTAGTCAGATAACTAAGAACTGGGCTCCAGAATGTCAGAGCAACGATTTGTCATGTGATTTCTCTGCACAGCCTCACACCTTGGTACCACTGCAGAAAAACTGATAACTGACCTTCCATACATTACTGTGAAATGCTGCCTTCTGTTAATTCTATATTCTTTGTGTACACATGCAAAACAAAGTGACTTCAAGAAACCAGCTCTCTCAAAAGCAACACTGAGAGATGGGGGAAGAGACAAAAATCTGTTTTGATGGGGCTTTTTCTTTTTATTTATCTACTGCCAAATAGTTTTAAAATGTTCTTTAAAATCTGGACCAAATGAACAGCACACAAATGCCCAGCTAAGATTAAAGGTGAGTTTGGTAGGAAGACAAACAGCGTAGCTATGTCTGCGTATGTGTACACATCTCAGACAGCAGGGCCCTAGAGTAGTGTTGAAAGCAGTGGAACACAGCATTTGGCTGAGCCCCAGGAGTGTAACAAGAGGGGTCCAACTTTGAAAGAGGAAAGCAAGAAACAGGTACAGGCCCAAATGGCTGTAACTGAAAACAAGTGATGATAAAACAGAGGAACAAGCTTTCTAAGCAGGCCACTCCAATACAGATCTCCTTCTCTTTTCTTCCCCCAGGCTCCTAGAAAGGAGAGGGTCTTTTTTCACTTGTTTCCTCCCCCAGAGCTCCTGAATGTGATGCATCTCTAGCTATCCTCTAGGCATCTAATTCCTCCCATGGGATGTGTCTCTCTGCTACTCTCCCCACCAGCCTCAGTCCTCCAATTATGTAAATGGCTCCCGTGCAGTGCTGCTGCTGCTCACAGCTCTCCCTACCAGCAGGTGCATCTGCTGCCTTTCCCTGCTCTCAAAGGTTTCCAAACAGCAGCAGTGAAACTGACCCAAGTCATCTTAGTTTCACTCAGCTGCTTGGTAGTACTTACCTAGAATTATGCATACATCATTAGCTTTGGATCAAGCCCTTACAGTTAATGTGTCTTTTTCCACTGATTTCAGTGACTTTGGGATTACATTTTTTAAAAGGAAAAAGTGCTCTAGATACCTTTGCCATATATTATAAATTCAAACAGAAAGAAATGCACAGCCTCTCCTAATGCAGGAAAGGGAAACATACAGCCTGACTACAGATCACAGCCCTCCCTACATACCACCCATTTGTCTGCAGACTCAGGAAGACAGTTACCGAAACATGAATCAGGCTTGTGTTATCACTGTAATCATCAATGCTAAAAGTTATGTGGGTTTTTTTTAAAATGAAAGCTTAGTTTTCTCCCCAGACCTTCCACTAATTGGCAGGAAAAGCTTTTTAGTTACAACTTGATAGTGAATTCTTCAAAAACTGGTTATACATCATCATAGGTGTGTGTTGTGCTTTATAAAAGCTAGCATTTCCTGTCAGAAGGAGCCTCAATCTAAGTAATCTCAGACAAGCAGGCAGAGGTAAAAGGGAGGACAAGGGTGTTATTCTGCAAGGTCATGAAGCTGATTGGGTTGCATACTTTGGATGTGTTCCTGTCATAATTATGTATATAATTAGGACCAGAATGGGGTGAGTGAGGTATGGACAAGAATGGAGTGAGTGAGGTATGGAATGATTTATGAGAAAAGGTCTTTATGATTGGACTCAAACTGCATCTCATTTTTTACAGAACAGCACTAGAATGAGCTGTTTAACTAAAAACACACACAGGGGTACCTGGAACCTGATAAGTGCAAACAGTAAAATATAGTCCTCATCTGGCCACAGAATAAACAGACCCTCTGCTTTGTGTCATTCACAGCTATTGCAAAAAGGAGGATTACAACAAGGAGAATCTCTTCAACAGCGTGAACTATGATGTTGCTGCCAAGAAGAGAAAGAAAGACCTGCTGAATAACAAGACAAAGATTCAGTGTAAGGCAACACATGGGGGAACTTTTAAAGCCAAAGTTGCTGGATGATTATAAAACACACTCTCTCTGTGTGTCTGTCAGAAAGGGTATGAGACACTTGAGTGTGCTGCAGTACTTCCAGAAGTCTCTTGAGAGTCTCTGCACCCATGTTTGACCTACGTAGAGAACTTGGATACATTTTAATGTGAAGATTTATGCCTGTGTTATTAGTCCCTTCTCCAAGTGTTTGTGCTTGTTTTGTTCAAATTTTTGTCATTTGTATTTGGCAGAGGAAGAGTAACTTTTTCCTATGGTACATTCAAGTGAGCCAGTTCTGATTTTTTTTTTCTCTTTCCTCGTGTACATTAACTCCTCACTTAACCTTGTGCCTGTTAATTATTGTTTCATTGTTGCATTGCTTATCTATTACAGCACATGCTCGTTTAAAGTTGTGCAATGCTCCTTTATAATGTTTAGCTGCCTGCTTTGTCCACTACTTGCAGGATTTCTGGAAAAGCAGCCTGTCCTTGTGGGGGGCTGGAACCAGGGTGGGCTGACAGCCTCCATCAGCTCTCCTAAGTTCCCTGGAAGGTAGGCGGCTGGGCAGCTGCAGCTCACACTAGAGAGAAGAGGAAAGGCGATTTTAACTCTTATTCAGAGGCCTGAAAGGGAAGCTTTAGGGGAGGGACCGCCCACAAAACATAGAATGTTTCAGACCCAAAGAAGACTTTTTTTCTTCTGTCTTAGACAGTATCATGTAAGTGATGAAAGTCATTACTAATGGAGCTCCCTGTGTAATCCTAACTCTACCACTCACTGTTATAAACTCTAGTGACTGTTAGTCTAATGTCTTATGACACCTTAATCTAAACTCTGTAACTGAGGTAATGAGTAATTAATTAAATCAGAAGCAACGAACTCTGGCTGTGACCCAGGCTTACTGTCAGAAAGCAGAGAAAACAAGGGGCTGCAGTGTCTCCACAGCATATTGATTAAATATCTAGTCTTGGACTGTCACTGAAACACAAACCTTTTCTAGGTCCTGGCTACATGAAAGAATATGGAAACCAAGATGGTTTGATTCTCATCTGTGTTACACTGTTATAAATCAGAAGTAACTCCACAAGAGTCAGTGGAATAATGCCTGTTTAGAACTGGTGTAAGGGTAGAACTGGGCTTCTTCTTTATGCAAAGTTAAGTTTTAATTATATATAATTAAGTGGAAAAAAATCTGTCTTTGTCTGAACAGATTTCCATCAAGAGAAATGGATTTATGTCCACAAGGGAAGCACAAAGGAAGTAAGTATCCATTGTTTTATTTCCTCCATGCCAGGGGTGGGCAATAATTTTTGGTGGGGGGCCATTCAGATTTTTATAAGTGGTCAACAGCCGTACTTTTCTGTGGAGGGGGGTGCAGAGTCTTGGTTGGAGTCTGAGTGCAGAAGGGCACATGGGGTAAGGGACTGGAGTGCAGGAGATGGTGTGGGGTCTGCGAGGGTGTTTGGTTGAAGGAGGGGGTTGTGACCTGGGTTAGGGGATTGGGGCATAGGATCAGGGAGGGAGTTGGGATGCAGGAGGGGTTGGGGTGCCAGAGGCAGGCGCTGGCTGGGAGGAGTTGACCTAAGTGTCTCCTGGCCAGCAGGCTGTAGCACCCCTCAGGCAAGCTGGGCTCCCTCCCTGCTGCAGCCCCAGCCCACTTGAAAATGCAGGCTGCTCCCTCCACATGGCTCTCTACTCCAGGTGGGGGAAGAGGCTTGCACTGCCCCAGTCTCTCAGGCCAATCTCTCAACTCAAATTGGTAAACTGTTTCCAGCCAGTGGGAGCTGTGAGATTGGCTGAGGTCAGTTCTTATTGGATGGTTGTTTCTGGCCAATAGGAGCGGAGGATTGGGCTGGGGATTGGGTGATTGCACAAAGCCTCCCCCTCTCTGCAGAGCAGAGAGCCACAGAGATTGTGTTTTAAACTGTGGCAGCTACATTCCTGAGGGTCTGTGGGCCAGATCCAGTGGCTTGACCAGCCGGATCTAGCCTCTGGGCCGTATTTTGCCCAGCCCTGCCCCATGCCATTTGTCCAAACAGCATTATTTATTGGGCCAAATCCTCAGGTGGTTCAAATCAGCATAGCTCCATTGAAATAAAGGGAGCCATGCTGATTTACACCACCTGAAGATCTGGCCTATGGTTATTATTTGCAGAAGCTAGGATGGGAAACCCAAGGCAGTCTCCATTGTGCTAGGCTCTGCGTATATTTAAAACAAAGAGATAACATTGTCCACTTGCCTCTGCCAAAACTGCGTGGTAAACTAAGCAGTGACACAATTGCAGGCTTTCCCACATTGAAGTTCTAGCAAGAAAACACTGCCGGGGGGGGGGGGAGCAGCTGTAAGAAACCTCATTGCATATAGGCCCTTCATGTTGAGTCCTAGGAATGTATTGCTTACCCTGCCTTGGGAGATTATTGAAAGAGATCAAATAGTGTTTCTTAGAAGAGAACCGGACCCTATTCACGACCTCCAAATAGCTGTCATAACTCCCATTGAGCTGCATTCACAGGGGGACATAAATAGGCACAATTCCACAGAAGTCATTGGAGACATGCCTACTTACACCATCAAAGAGTTTGGCCTGTAGCATGCCCCCACAAGTATGTTAACATGCTATGTTGGCTTGGACCACATATACACATGGCTCTCTCTTCAGACTACTGTACAACAAAACCTGACCCAGCTTTGTTCTCTTTCACTCTCAGCGTCATGGTTACTGCACCTTGGGAGAAGCTTTTAACAGACTTGACTTCTCGAATGCTATCCTAGATTCCAGAAGGTTCAATTATGTTGTAAGGGTGAGTAAAGGTATCATTTATTTAGCAGTAACTTCTAGCACAGACACCAGTTGCTTAACTTAGCTGAGCAGAGAACAGGTTCTGCACTGGAAAAGATCTGCCAGAGTATGCTGTGGCCTCGTTGACTGCAAGAGGAAGTTTCAAGGGCTAGTTAATGAAGTAGTGTCTGATGCATGGAAGGGAGGGTCCATCTGTTAGAAATTGCTGGATGGGAAAGAAAGATCACATGTAGCCTTCCTTCAGATCCAGTGAAAATGAGGGCTAGTATGGGGGCATGGAACAAGGTCTACACTTCTTCCAGGTTTCTTTATCAAACTGGGTTTATCATGAAACTTCTGAGGTGTTAAGGCTGTATGTGATTGGGTGGAGGTAGTGTTTGTTGATTTTTAAAAGTGAAGTTATTGCCATCTGTTCAGTGACCTGTCTGAAATGAGTTGGCCATCGCTGTTCTGTTCCTCATGAACAGGCCTCCCATGTGACAAGCTGATAAATGGGGTAGCAGTTGTCTTGGCAGTCTCAGCAGAGTGTCCAGATGTGTCTTAGTCGCAGGAACTGACTGCGTACTTGCTTCTGGGGGCAGTCCATTCAGCTCATGGTTGCAGCACTTTGACAGAGAATCATGGAGGAACTTTGCAATGTTGATGCTCCTGCTGTATCTGCTCTTGGAGAGCTTCACCAGGGTTGCTGATCCACCCTCTTACTGAAAGCTAAATTCCAGTTCTGGTTGTTGTAACTCCCCCTTTGGGGCAGTCTACACAGTAGAGATGAAATCCTGCACACCACAGGGCCGGTGGTTCCCTTGCACTGCACATTTGAGATGCAATTGAAGATTACAGTTCCCTGAATGCCATGGACACTAACTCTGTGGTGACACACTGTGGGAAGGGAGAAATTTGTGAGTGGGGTGTATAGGATCCTGGCTAACTTCAAGGAATCTCTGGTTACAGACTTGGTGAGGAAGCAGAGTTGCTATTATAGCCCCATATGTTGTGGCAGCTTGAACTGACCAGCTGTTCTGTTGCCCTTGCATAGCCTTTTATTTGGTCAAATGATTTCTTAGCCCCAAGCTTCTGTGTAGGTTCCCCGTGCAAGCCCTCTTACTCTGGCTTTTTCAGAAGACCAAGAGTTCATCTTACATTCACAGTGTTCAAAGGGTGTTCTTTTTATTCCATGATTCTGTGTCCATAACCTGTTTATGTACATATTATCCACCAGTGGATATATTTCAGAATACACTCATTGAAATGAAGAATCTTGTCAGTTTCTGGTGGCAAAGAAGCTGCTAAGAAATCTGTTACAAATACAAGGTTGTCTATTATTGGCTCCTTTTCACATTCCATCAGCAGTTAATCACGGGGGGGAGCACCAGCTGTTTAGGTTTTAGATTTTGGTGCTGAGTTTTTGCTGGCATGTTGCTCTTCCCCAGTGAGTCAAATGTTATAAAAGAGACTGTCAAAAAGATGATACCCATTAGGCTAGCCTTGGATCTTTCACCTGTTGTCTCATCAGATGTGGGTCAGGCATTCTAAATGTCCAATCAATACCCTGCAGTCTAGAGTAGAGAGATCTTTGTTACTCATATTACCATGTAGTTAACCTCTTGCTGCTGACTTTTTTTATCCTCTTAAACTCATTTTATGATGAGCCCCTCTGTGCTACCCTTGTGTAGGATGCTGCCCATCACCCACCTACATAATGATGGGTATAAGTGGCATTTCTTTTTCAACATCAGCTATGGAAGTAGATATGATACTGTGCAGGCTACCATGAATCGGGTCAAATACAATTTCTAGACTCATGGTAGACTTTTATGAGAGTTTCCTCTAAGCTAATCACAATCCTTCATTGCCTGGATGTTGGGCATAATACTCGTCCTTTTTTTAAAAGCTTATTCAGATAGCTTCTTAAATTTAGATTGGAATAGGGATGGAAGGTTGACCTGATGCCTTTTTCCTCACCACCCTCTTTAACTTATATTGATAACTAATGATGGGCAGGGGAGTAAGGGAATTACTTACTCATTACTTACTCATCATTTCCCTAGCTAGGCAGTTATGATTCACCACTGAAAATTCAGATATTGTCTTCTAAAGTTTCTGTGCAAATGGAAAAACTGGTCCAGTGAGGATTCTGGAAGGTGTGTAATGCTGCATATCTAACATCACAGGCAGCCTTGGGCCCTTGGATTAAAGAGAAGGAGACCTAAACATTTTTAGTTTAGGGGAAAATGTGAATTTTAAAAATATTTAAAACTGAACATGTTAAGCTCCAGAGGCAATTGTAGAAAGAAGATCTACTGCTGAGCCATTCACTAAGCACCCTCAACGTGAGGGTTATTTTTTTTCCAGAAAGGCTGAGCACCTGCTGCACATGCTGCCTTTAGTTGCCAGCTTGGGCCCATATGTGGGACACAGAATTCCTAAAAATATGGTTGTTACTCCTCTCTTGAAATGTTTCAAGCACTTCAAAGAATGCTCTACGTGGTCTGAGATGCCACTTGGTAAAAAGAAAAGGTCCTGACTTCTATTTACAGGCCTCTTCATACTACAAGAGTGGCATAAGGGAAGCAGGGGTGGCTTTATGTGTGTGACTAGGAGTCAGGACTAAATCAATGAAAAAGCATCTTTCTGACATGAGGCTAAGTTCATTAATGGAGTTACACCCAAAATCAGCTTGGCCAATGAAGTTTAAATCTTGTTAATTTAATTGGCAGGGGTCTGCTGTGTGACAGCTTTAAAGCTTTGAATAGGACAGAAGTAAAATGATTTGTGGCATTTCTAGATTCTTTCATCACTTACAGTGGATTTAACAGCATTCAAGACTAAAATCAGTACGTGTTCTCCTTTTTCCGATTGACCTCCCACCCAAACTTTATTTTTTTTCTAGTAGTTTTTGTAAGTGTGATACTTTGTAATTTAAGATGCCTGGGATTTTTTTCATTTGTTTTCAGTCTGTGAAACCACCAGTGTTAAATGTTCAAATGTAAAATTGCTCAAGAAAGGCCCTGTTTAGAGATGAAGTTCCTCATTGGATCCCCTGTATGGTCTGTTGCAAGACTGAATGAGTACTTCTAGAGCACACAGGTGAGCCGTACACAATACAAAACATGCCTTGACGAGTAGCAAACTAACTTCTTCTCCCATCCCTTTCTCCAGATGTCCATGGAACTACAGTAGTGGTCCCACAGGAGTCTGATTAATTCCATGGCAGCATGGCAAAGTGCTTCCCAAGTAGTACTATTTATGTACTGCTGCTGGGAAAAAGAGGGGAGAAAAGACACAGATGGCCTTGCAGAAGGAGTAGGGGAGGCAAACAATGATAGGCCTAAAACATTTTTACTGTTGTACTAGGGTTGCCAAATGTTTTAAACAAAAACACCGGACACACTTGACATTACATCACAATCTACATTACATCTTAGTTAGAAAATACCGGACATTTATATTTTCTCAATTTGTTTCCCGAACAGAAAGCTCAAATACTGGCCTGTCCAGTTCAAAACTGGACACCTGGCAACCCTATGTACCCCTAACTTTTAATTACAAAAATTGTGGCGTACCTAAAATATATCAAGTTTAGATAGCTCCGTAGTTTTCATGCTAACAGTCCAGCTTGCTCATGTAGTGCCTCTAGTATAGCTGCTGTGCATTAATTTTATGCAAAAGAGCATCAAAACATGTACAGGTTTAAGAATTCTTACTTTCATCTGCTGAATCTCATTAGATAAGTAGATTACAGAAGAAGAATCCTGTTGATTGAGGAGACTCTGAGACTAAAAAGCCTAACAGTGCCGTGATTTGCTAAGTTTTAAGGTTTTAGAGGATTATTAATGACTTGTCAGAGGGAGGTGGAGGTGGCTTGGAAATATTGCTGTTTGCTAGGAGCTGCTAGAAATTTGGCAAGCAAAATTTAAGAGAAACATATCTTCCATGGTCAAGCAGTTTCTTGTTTTTCTGTGGGAAAGGACATTTCTTTAGCAATATTTGCCTTGTTTAGATACACTTGTTATGATATTTTACCAACAGTGTGTCAGGTATTCCTATGAATGCTTGAGACAAATTCTTGCTAGTGTTAAGTTAAAATGACCCATGTCTAGCTACACATTATTTAGGCACAGAGTAAGCCCTTCACATTTTCAGCTTGTTATATCTACGTAGTAACAAGAACAATTCAGGCCAAGTACTTTAATCTTGATGTGCTCATGGTTACAGTGCTATTAAAAATGCAGACTGCACAAAAGTTCATGCCATGTAAATAAGTAAAATGAGACGAGACCTTTAAACACCATAGCAGCCTCCAGAGCGGTTTATCGTTTTCTGAAATGTTCACTTATCAGATGACAGTGAAATTTTGAAGATTTTCCTTGCATCAAAAGGATTTACCATGTGATGGTTTCATAGCTGTATTTTGCAAGAGATGACAAGCTGTCACTGTGACACTGTATTTCCAGCACAGAATAGCTGACTTGATCTTGACTCAGGTGTGTGGATACAGATCTGTACAACAATATGATCTGGACAGCTCATAGTTAGCCTAATACATAAATTTAAGAATATGCATCTTGAAATTCCTTTTAGACTTAGTATTGATAGTCCTGGAGTTATGCTACATGGTAGCAGCATCTGTTAGTTACATTATTATAATTCATGGTACAAACACTAATATATCCACTATCACATTCAGTTCAAACTAAAACTTGGCAAATGGAGCAAATAGAAGTGCTGGGAGAGAGGGAGATTTGTTGTAGGTTGGGTGTTAAACACCAGATCCTCAGCTAAAGAGAAATCAGTGTAGTTTCAGTGTCAATCAGTGGAACTACTCTGATTTTCACCTGGCTGAGGAACTGGCCCTAGCTGTTTCATTCTGCACTCTGACTTTTCTAGTTTGACATTTTTTTTCATGGATCTCAGCAGTTACACAGTTACCTTATTAACTTTACACAGTTACCTTTCAACATCCGGGCTACGTCTACACTGGCCCCTTTTCCGGAAGGGGCATGT